TAATGACTACATAAAATACAAATTGCATAGAACAATTGAAAACAAAAAAAAATTTGAAGTTAGAGTCTGTCTACACACGCACATTTTTTCTTCACTACTTGATCTCGGAGAAGTCCATATTTGGGCGCGGTGGCGCCTTGGCTGCGTACGGCTCTGTCTTCCGTACTTTGCTTGTGTGGCGAGTACAGAACGTTCGGTTGAAACCCTGGCTTCGGAGATTGGCAAATTACTTTTACCTCGGCTCGTCTTCTTGCTCTGGCGGCGATCGGAATATGCCTAACTTCAGCATTGACCGACATCTCAGCGGCTGGAGTCCGGAGTGGCTCTGTTGCTTTTGCCATAGAATTATAGGTTCTAATTCTGTGGTGTTTCTCTTTTGGACTGAAGCAATTTTTTCATTTTTTCTGATAAAAACATTTTTTTTTCCAAGTACAACGAATAATAAAGATGTACATATATTTATGGGAAACGGGGCTTACGCACAGATTTAATATTTATATACTAGGGGAAGCTGTCTCTACTGATCAGGGCCGACTCAAATGGGGGCCCGGCAGCGGTATAAAGGGGGCCCGACAACTGAATTTTTTTTGTTTTGTATGAGAAATTCGACACAAGACGAGAGGGGGAAGTTTTTGGTTTGTTTTTTTTTCTGTTTTTTTTTTTTAGAAAAAGCAATTGAAGTAGAGGAAGAATTGAGGATTTTTTTTTAGAAACTCAATTCAACTAGAAGAGGAAAAGTTTTTGTTTGAACAGCTGTTTTTTGTCACGGGGCCGATCTAGAGAATTGTCCTGGGGCCCGGCCTGGCTCTCGGCGGCCCTGCTACTGATATTGTGACTTCTCTACATGCCTTTGTAGATTTCATTTTTTCAATGATTTCTTTAATTTCATGGTGTGTTTCTTGGTGAAATGAAATTAGTTTGAAATATTTTCTGTGTTAATTCTGGACCAATTTTAGTTCATCTGCAATATACTACCTTACAGTTTTATTTTCCATAACTGTTTGCAATATGTTTACATCATTTTTGTTCAGATGTTTATTATGCATAAAGGAAATCAATATTTTTCATTATGTACATTTAAAACTAATAATTGTTTTTGGTAATATAACAAAAAAAAACATAACCTTACAATTTTAAAATTTTCCAAAATCCTCAACTATTCTGACGATTAGACAACACTGCAAGGCCGTGACGTCATAAATGATATCCGACTTGCATTGGGATTTGTATTAAAAATACTATATATATTTTTTGTAAGTCCAAGAAAACTTGAATATCTAACGGTTTGTTTTTGGAGAATACCATTGGCACTCCAAGTGGCTATTCTAATATCCCAATATTACGTCTTTTTGCATTTTACTTGAAAAATAAAATAGTTTTAAAAATATTTTTCGTTTTCAGGTAATGCATCATTCACAATCTTGGAAAATTTAAGATATTTAAATACAAAACAGGCGTTGGCAGATTTTGCGTTACTGATTCAAGAATTGAAAAATGATTTTTTTTCAAATTATACAAAAACAACAACCAAGACCGAGCCTATTATTGCTATTGGAGGATATTATGCTGGAACGTTGTCAGCTTTACTAAGAATGAAGTATCCGCATTTAGTTAGGGCAGCTCTTACTTCTTCTGCACCTCTTTTCTACTTACCCGAACTTACTTCTTGCGAAGGATTTTACCAGAGAGTTACTCAAGTTTTTGAAAGATATGGAAGTGAAAGATGTGTCAAATCAATAAAACTTTTATGGGATATCATTGAAAACCTAACTAAATCGAAAATGGGTAAGTTTTTGTAGCAAAATTGAGAAGGATAATTTTGTTCATATACTGTTTGTTGTAATCTAATTTTTTTTTATTCATCCCATTATCTCATTTTTTCTATAATCTGCATTTTTTAATAAAACATTGTAAAGTGTACAGTGGCCATTCTTCTTTTGCCAGAGACTTGCTGCTTAGTAAAATTTCTTATCTGTAAATACCTGTTCCAAGCATCTCGAACTGTAGACAGCGGAATTTTCAGATTACGGCCCCCTCTATTACCATTATAATAACACAACAAATTCTAATACGGAACTTTCAATGTCAAACATTTTATCACAATTAAGCATTCCAACGACCTGTCAAACAATAGGTGCCAGTGGGAAATTCTTGTATATTTAAGGGGGTAGCGACATAGTCTTGCAACTTGGACGCTATTTTTATTCGAAGTAGTACTCGCCAAGCCTGCCAATTTATGAAAAAATGTATAGGTGGGTTTTTTTAAATATAATTTTTATTGTGTTTGACATAAAATATTTAAATTTAATCCATTATTCATGATTTTACGTAAAGTAGATAGAATACACCATATGTCGCCACCCTTAGATATACCAAACCTGCCCACTGGTAATTCATTTGTTTGGAATGCCTAATATTCGCGTACTTAGCCAACTTCGATAATTTTTAATCAATAACTTGACATCCATTTTTCACAAATTAATTAAAATCAACAGCGTTTTGTTAAAAAAAAATACAGCTCACAGAAAAATTGAGATGATGGGATAAATCAAAAAACAAAATGTTTTAGATTTCATCTGAGATTACAGCAAACAGTATGTAAACAAAATTATCTCCTATATAATTTTGTTTAAACGATAAATGTTAGTTATTACAAAGATTTAAGACACTCACAATAAATGTATCTACAAACGGGTAGAAAATTCATAAAAATAGGATAAAACATAAAAAAGTTATAAAACATCAAACTTGGTCAAAATTTTAGTATTATTTACGTTTGAAAAAGAATATTCTTCAAATAAAAGTTTTTTTATTAATTTTTATTAATTTTTATTAATTTTTATTAATTTTTATTAATTTTTATTAATTTTTATTAATTTTTATTAATTTTTATTAATTTTTATTAATTTTTATTAATTTTTATTAATTTTTATTAATTTTTATTAATTTTTATTAATTTTTATTAATTTTTATTAATTTTTATTAATTTTTATTAATTTTTATTAATTAATTTTTATTAATTTTTATTAATTTTTATTAATTTTTATTAATTTTTATTAATTTTTATTAATTTTTATTAATTTTTATTAATTTTTATTAATTTTTATTAATTTTTATTAATTTTTATTAATTTTTATTAATTTTTATTAATTTTTATTAATTTTTATTAATTTTTATTAATTTTTATTAATTTTTATTAATTTTTATTAATTTTTATTAATTTTTATTAATTTTTATTAATTTTTATTAATTTTTATTAATTTTTATTAATTTTTATTAATTTTTATTAATTTTTATTAATTTTTATTAATTTTTATTAATTTTTATTAATTTTTATTAATTTTTATTAATTTTTATTAATTTTTATTAATTTTTATTAATTTTTATTAATTTTTATTAATTTTTATTATTATTAATTTTTATTAATTTTTATTAATTTTTATTAATTTTTATTAATTTTTATTAATTTTTATTAATTTTTATTAATTTTTATTAATTTTTATTAATTTTTATTAATTTTTAATAATTTTTATTAATTTTTATTAATTTTTATTCATTTGAGCACGGGTCCCGAGAATTAGTCCCAGCTACTCCCCTCGTCGGCTCTGGTTGAGAGATTGTTGTTTTAGAAAATTTTAAAAAATATCATTCGGCCCGATCTAACGAAATTGTTGAGAATATTAGAATGTAACCTACGATAATTTATGAAAAAAATATCGTTTTGATCTCAGATTTTACCTGCGATAAATATAGTAAGAAATGTAAATTCTTGTACGCTATTTTGAATGTCTATTTTGGCACTTTCTTAATTTATTTTAATTCTATCTTCGATTACTTTTACTAATAAAAGTATTAATTCAAATTGTTACTCTACATCTATTTCGTATAGTTTATTACTCGAGTTTAATTTTCACGAAGACTATATCTTATTAAATTAAAATTTGTTACAGGTATGACTTTTATTTCTTCAACATGGAAGCTTTGCAAAAAACTAGAAACGGCGAAAGATGTGCAAACGTTAGTAGATTGGTTAAGAAATATATTTACAGAATTATCCATAGCAAATTATCCCTATGCTTCAGAATATTACAATCCAGTTCCAGCCTATCCAGTGATGACATTTTGCAATAAGTTCGACACTGGGTATTTAAATGACACGAAACAATTTATTGAATCATTTGCGAATGCTTTGCAAATTTATACTAATTATACTGGAAAAACATCTTGTAACAACATTTACAGTAAAGAAGAAGACTTAAATGACGTTGCTTGGAAATACCAAATATGCACAGAGTTAATAATGCCCAAATGTTCAACTGAGCAAGATATGTTTCTTACATATAACTGGACTTACGAACAATTCGCTCTGGATTGCTACAAAAAATTTGGGGTCAGACCAAGACCTAATTATATCTATTTGGAATATGGTATACCCAATTTGAAGTATTTTACCAATATACTCTTCAGTAGCAGTGCGTTAGATCCGGCTTCATGGGGTGTTGTTGATTTAAAAAAATCAAATAAGTTTGATAAATCGTTGATGACTCTTCAAATTATAGATGCTCCACACCTTATGGAGTTCAGAGGTACTAATACTATTGATAATGATTATATTTTGCAGGCTAGAAAGTTTTATATATCAATTCTGAAAAAATGGCTTAAATAGGCACATAAACTATGTTTTAATAGATGAATAATAACAGAAATTAATATTATTTATAATTTTATTATTGTATAAAAAAGTTATATGTTAATAATTACTCTCAATAATAATATTATTATTATTATTAGTCCAGTAATTACGTAAATTTACCTGGAAAAATTTGCGGAAGTTTTTATTTATTGTACATTTTTTTTTTAGTTTCATGTATTATAATTGAAACAACTGAGTACTCACTTTTAAGCTACCATTTGTATTTTTTTTATGACTATATTTTTGGATAAATAATGAAGTGTTCAATCCACTCGCAAAATAACTGTTCATTTGACCAGCCATTGGGCGAACATTTATAAGCAGCACATGAAGGTCCACCTTTTGCCAAAAGCGGAGACATCCTCTTTCGAGAAAAGATCAAAAATGGAGGTATATAGCAAATGGAGGTATATAGCTCACAGCTGCATTTATGCAGCAGATAACTGTAACTGTTTTGCCTCTTTCCCAACTTGTTACAGAACCAATACTTTTTTCCTTTGGTCGCGACAATGGTACCAGGATCTTGAACGATCGATATCCCAGTTTCGTCGACATTGTATATTTGGTTTGGCAGATATTGAGTTTTAGACATTACTCCTTCCAAATTTTTGTAGAATTTTGCTACCTCTTCTCGATTAAAGGCGGTTATCCTATTAATGCTGGTTGCTTCCAGCTTCCGAACATTTATCCTAGGATTCCTTCTTAAAAATGCATAAAACCAGTCCTTTCCTGCAATGTTGGATAAATGGCTAAAATTGTGCTTTATATTGTTACTGGTTACATATTCATAAGCAATTCGTCAGACCTGCTGGGGGCTAACACCATAAAATAAATCTGACAGATATTTTATACGGTTAGCTAGAACGGCTTCTTCCTCCAAATATAACGTAGTTTGGCTTCCCATACGTGGAGCGGTTGTCTTATTTTTTGATTTTCTTTCCTGCAGTGTGCTAAACGGAATATGGAATTTTTTGCTTGCCGATCGAATTGCAAGACATTTGAAGTTGCTCGGGGGTCCACTTAGCTTTGTTTTCTTTTTTGATGTAAGTCCTAGACACCTGTAACAAATAAAACACATTGATTTAAAATTAAAAATATACACTCGACTTAGTCATAGGAAGGCCTGTGGGGTAATACCGGTCACGACTGGTATTACCCCAACCGTTTTGACCGGCATTTCCCGAAAGCAATCCTACGACATAAACCTAACCTAAAATTATTTCTCTTTATTTAAGCGCCTGTATAAGCAGGATCTAAACGACAAGATGCCTCTTAAGACATTCCTTATAATTCTGTGCAAAAAATTAACTTATTTGGGTACTTACGTTGGTTTAAGTTCGTCAAAATATTACAAGAAATCCTAGCAATAACTTGACCACAACAACATATGTCTTAGACTGGAGCCTTGAAAGCGAAACCCGGTGGATTTAACTTGTACCACTGCATAATAGATGGCGCTACATAGTTAACGGGGCGACTACGTTTGCAGCGAAAAATTACTAGTGACCGGAATTACCCACACGACTGGGATTTCCCCACTCTCCCTTAAAAGCAACTAGTAACAAGATATCTTGAAAAAACTACTTTTTTCACAATTTATTACAATATGGCGGCGACGGCAGCAAAGTTACAAGGTGGGAAAATAAAAAATCGAAAAGAGCACTTAAAAATACAAAAAATCGCCAAATATCAAAACTTCCGTAAAATTTTCCAACTAAAGGCATTATTATACAGCACGCAATTACTGGAGTATATACTATATATTTGAGTTAATATTGTAATTTTATATTTAATATTATCTTTTAATGTACTAATATTATTAATCTCACCCTATATTCCTTCGATGAGGGGTGAATAATATTTATAGGATTGAAGGGCGAATCGATCATATTTTTTTATCTCCATGAAAGATCAGTGATAATTAAAACGAAGTTTTTTGAAGACATAAATATAATAAATGTATTTACTTTCAGTAAATAGGTACACTTGTAATTACTGTAATGCGAACCATATTCGGCCAGTGCGGTCATGATCTAATCCTTTAAGTCTCCCTCATACTTCATACACTGGAACGCATTGACTCCAGTTCGAGTTTCACTTGATTCTTCTTGGAAGACCATTCACTTTTTTCCTCGCTAGTTTTTAGTTTTATAGTTTTTTAGTACCTTTCTACTTTCAAATAAAAGTTTTGACTATACATTATCACAAAGTTTTTTACAAAATGGATCCATGTTACTTACTAGATATGAAACTGTTAAAGAGTTATTTATTTGTTACTACTATTATAATTTTTAAATTTTCTATTTTAAGTTAAAATCTTATGTATTATAGGCCTGAAGATGACTTTGTAAGGACGAAACTAATCATACCTGTATTTAATATTGAAATAAATTTATTGTTATATTGATTTGGAGTTTCTATTCTTTGTTTGAAATGAATGAAGTTATGGATCTGCAAGCAACAATACAAGAAAGTAATATTGGTTGCCTAGATCATTTTTTATGAAATAGAATTTTATAAATAATCTTACCGTTACATAAATTAAGGCATTTCGTAACAGGTTGCATAAATAACTATTATAAAACTGATTTAATTAATTTTTTTTGAAATTTCAGTTTATTTATCAATTTTATTTTAAAATCAGTTCATTGGCATTGGGTTGTCTTTATTTAATTGTTTGGTTAAATTCTAAAAATAATTGAATGACAACTAGTAAATCTTATAGTAAATAATCAATCATAGAAGGGATTTTCTGGATATGATTACTGAAATTACTAACTAATCTGTGATTAACAAAATTACTAACTAATCTAATAAAATAATAAAACTAAAATTAAATTAAAATCAAATAAGATAATTTGAAATAAAATTAAAATAAAAAAAAACATAAAGAAAAGTTAAATTGTTTATAAAACTTACCTGAACTCACCTTGAGATTAAGAAGATCTTGTGTTTGAAATTAAATCTGTTAAGCAAGAGGATAATAAGGCTAGCCGAAGGTAAATATAGCAATATAATATATATTTTTAAAATTTATTAAATGTTATGTGAGAAATAATTAAACAGAAACATTACAAAATATATATATATATATATATATATATATATATATATATATATATATATATATATATATATATATAGATTCGTCCTGCCGACTTTGTGACATCATGTCGCAAAAATGTTGGTATCTTTATGACATCCGTTTGCGATGTGACATCCAAATTCGGATGTCACAACGTTTTTGGGGTTCAAACATCATAAAGTAGGTTTAAAAGAGCGCCAAAAAAATTTCAGCTGGATGTCATAATGCTTAATTTTCAATTTTATGTATATATTTAGTTCCAGTGTATAGATGTGAAGGTGGCGCTCGCGTCAGTTGGTTTTGTATATTTTGTATATTAAATATTTTAGTCCCTCGATTGTCTAACATCCACCATTGAGTATATTAGAATTTACTCACTCGACTGTCTGACATCCAACATTCAGTATATTAAAACTTACTCACCCGACTATATGACATCCACCATCGAGTATATTAGAACTTTACACACTAGGTTATGTGACATCCAAAAAATTTATTTTAGATATATTTGGATTTTCATTTTAAGATCTATTTTATGTTAACACATTAACTGCCAAATTTTTTTCTTGGGTTTCGCACAGAGCCAACAAGTTTTTTAAATGCATTCACTCTCTGTAACTATTTAATAAATATATAATATATGCATCTATATTAATACAAGGTGTATCAACAATGGGTGAGTGAACGATGACTGTAATTTATATTAAAATAAATTAAAATAAAAACAAATAAAAAAAATTATAATAGATTAAAATAATTTAAATAATTAAATAATTTAAATAAATTTAAATAAATTTAAATAAATTTAAATAAATTTAAATAAATTTAAATAAATTTAAATAAATTTAAATAAATTTAAATAAATTTAAATAAATTTAAATAAATTTAAATAAATTTAAATAAATTTAAATAAATTTAAATAAATTTAAATAAATTTAAATAAATTTAAATAAATTTAAATAAATTTAAATAAATTTAAATAAATTTAAATAAATTTAAATAAATTTAAATAAATTTAAATAAATTTAAATAAATTTAAATAAATTTAAATAAATTTAAATAAATTTAAATAAATTTAAATAAATTTAAATAAATTTAAATAAATTTAAATAAATTTAAATAAATTTAATAAATTTAAATAAATTTAAATAAATTTAAATAAATTTAAATAAATTTAAATAAATTTAAATAAATTTAAATAAATTTAAATAAATTTAAATAAATTTAAATAAATTTAAATAAATTTAAATAAATTTAAATAAATTTAAATAAATTTAAATAAATTTAAATAAATTTAAATAAATTTAAATAAATTTAAATAAATTTAAATAAATTTAAATAAATTTAAATAAATTTAAATAAATTTAAATAAATTTAAATAAATTTAAATAAATTAAAATAAATTAAAATAAATTAAAATAAATTTAAATAAATTTAAATAAATTTAAATAAATTTAAATAAATTTAAATAAATTTAAATAAATTTAAATAAATTTAAATAAATTTAAATAAATTTAAATAAATTTAAATAAATTTAAATAAATTTAAATAAATTTAAATAAATTTTAAATAAATTTAAATAAATTTAATAAATTTAAATAAATTTAAATAAATTTAAATAAATTTAAATAAATTTAAATAAATTTAAATAAATTTAAATAAATTTAAATAAATTTAAATAAATTTAAATAAATTTAAATAAATTTAAATAAATTTAAATAAATTTAAATAAATTTAAATAAATTTAAATAAATTTAAATAAATTTAAATAAATTTAAATAAATTTAAATAAATTTAAATAAATTTAAATAAATTTAAATAAATTTAAATAAATTTAAATAAATTTAAATAAATTTAAATAAATTTAAATAAATTTAAATAAATTTAAATAAATTTAAATAAATTTAAATAAATTTAAATAAATTTAAATAAATTTAAATAAATTTAAATAAATTTAAATAAATTTAAATAAATTTAAATAAATTTAAATAAATTTAAATAAATTTAAATAAATTTAAATAAATTTAAATAAATTTAAATAAATTTAAATAAATTTAAATAAATTTAAATAAATTTAAATAAATTTAAATAAATTTAAATAAATTTAAATAAATTTAAATAAATTTAAATAAATTTAAATAAATTTAAAAAATTTAAATAAATTTAAATAAATTTAAATAAATTTAAATAAATTTAAATAAATTTAAATAAATTTAAATAAATTTAAATAAATTTAAATAAATTTAAATAAATTTAAATAAATTTAAATAAATTTAAATAAATTTAAATAAATTTAAATAAATTTAAATAAATTTAAATAAATTTAAATAAATTTAAATAAATTTAAATAAATTTAAATAAATTTAAATAAATTTAAATAAATTTAAATAAATTTAAATAAATTTAAATAAATTTAAATAAATTTAAATAAATTTAAATAAATTTAAATAAATTTAAATAAATTTAAATAAATTTAAATAAATTTAAATAAATTTAAATAAATTTAAATAAATTTAAATAAATTTAAATAAATTTAAATAAATTTAAATAAATTTAAATAAATTTAAATAAATTTAAATAAATTTAAATAAATTTAAATAAATTTAAATTTAAATTTAAACTTTCAATTTACAATTACTTGAATATGATTCAAAGAAACGCTTGTTTAAAAGTATACTATGATCGAGGCGATCAATAGCCTTGGAAAAGTCAGTATACATAGCTTCAACCTGGCCACCCCTATCAAGGTGAAGTATATCAGATTGGTCGCTGTGGATCTGCCTGGAAAAAAGCCGTGCTGTGCTGTGCTGTGCCCTAGATCTAAGCGATTTTACATGAGCGAAAAGTATTTCATAGATGACATTTTCGAAATTGCTAAGGATGGATATAGGTTTGTAGTTTTCTATGATAGATTTGGATCCTTTCATATAAATTGGACAGATTTTAGATATCTTCCAATAACTTGGAAAATTCCCTTCTCGTAAGGACATGTTAAAGATCTTGGTTAAAGGTTTGTCTAAAATATTTGCACAATCTTTTATTAAAAATGCCGAAATATCATCTTGCCCTCTAGTATTTTTAGGTTTTAATCTTTTAAGATCTTTAATGACATCTTCTTTTGTAAGTAGAGGAATGTTACGACTGTTAATAATAATAATAATAATAATAATAGACCATTCACTGTTGGGTTCTAATTAACAGTGCTGTTCCTAAAGTGGCGCTGGGAAACAGTAACAAAGCCTACACAGAACACGAGGCGAAATAACCTTAGCAGTTGAAGCCGATGACACACAAAAAAAAAAAAAATAATAATTGGGGTTAGAAGATATTCTATTCTCAATATTTGTCAAATACTTCCTGTAATTTATTGAAATGTCGCGTTTAATTTTTGACCTAAGAATACTAAACCAGCTATAAATTTCAGCTTCTAGTGTCCTTTTATAGAAACGATAAAGAGATGATTTTTTTCTTAATTTATTTAATTTATGACTGTTTAGGTTGGCAACTCTGTTGACTTTGCTGCTTCACTCTCTTTAACGTCCCCGTTTTCTTCAGAACGACATTTTTCCAGTTTGAATCAGGCCAATAGCAGCTGAGATGCACGATGCTGCCCTTATTTGGAATACGATAGCCGCCATCTCGGATCGTTTAACCGTGTCGTAAGCCTAGTCGCACCACTGATAGGTTAGATGACGTCTCCAGTCCTACCCCCCTACACTCTCCCGTTTTCCCCACCCGTTCAAATCAGTCACAGGCCACTGCGCAGGATTTGGAATACGATAGCCGCCATCTTGGATCGCTTAGCCGTGTTACAAGCCGAGTCACACCACTGACAGGTGGCGTGGCGTCTAGTTGAGAGGTTGCGCCATCTCGTGGCGACTCTTGACTCCTGCTAGGTTGGCAACACTGTTGATAGTTGGCAACAGTGGATTAACAGCTAACCGTTGGCAGCACTGGATTGTCAGTTGACAGTTGGCAACACTGTTGACAGATGACATGACAATTGACGGCTGTCATCCTCGACTCGTGACCTTGAAAGTGACAAAAATTGACAGAATGAACCTTATAGCAAAGTATATTAACCGTTGAGTAGCGACAGCTGGGGAACCGAATTCTAGTGCGCCGACACGAAATAGAGAGGCGAGACGTCTTCTAAAGATTTAAACACCCCTTTCACTTTAGTCCGGCAGCTGATATAGGAATTCGTTGTTGTTCTCTTTTATTGTTTTCGTGGGTTTTTCATTATGCCAAAATTCATTAATTTTTCGGGGATATGTAATTAGAACCAAATAAATTAAATAATTAAGATCTTCTAAACTAAACGATTTTATTAAGGTCGTCACACTAACATGGAAAAATATGTACTAAAAAGTGAACAATATGTAAACCTGACAAATAACTGCTAAAAAAATATTCGTAAACATCACATTCAAGACCAGTTCATAATTCGAGCAGTGTTTTATATCGGATTCGACTGGCTGCATTAATGCGCATTTAGTTCGACTTTTTTAAGTGGTGTCTGTTCGACTGGCAGAACCCAATTAATTAAAAGTCAATTATTGCATTCGACTCAAATTGCTCGGTACCAAGGCATAGTGAAATTTTTGTTCGACTGGCAGGCGCTCTTGCTCAAAGTTCGAATTTTTTGGAACTGTACTTTTTTTCAGTGCCAGTGTCATTTTGGAGGTTAGGCATTATTAATATTTTTAAATATATTACCATCTTTGTTTTTATTATTAGTGAGAATGGAAAATCTTTGAAATTAATAGAGATTTAATTTTTGGTTTGGCAACTATAAATAAATATCGTTAAAAATTTGTTAAAAACCTGAAATGTCAAGTGCTAACTATGCCAGTCGAATAACGATAAAGATGCGCTACACCAATGTCGAACTCTAGCTCGTGCTTGCTGTGTGCACTGCTAGATATAAATTTGAATTATAAAAATTTTGCCCAAAATCAATTCAGAACTAAAAGCGCTTTGTCATTGAGCAAGAGCATTTGAGTCGAATCCGCTATTAGTGTGTCCTTCCGTCAATAACGTCAAACGAGAGAGAAAGAAAACTTGCACCACCCAAGATCAAAGACACCGACGCTTTATGTCGCTACTCAACGGTTAATATACTTTGCTTATAGCGGATTCGACTGGCTGCATTAATGCGCATTTAGTTCCAGTTTTTTAAGTGGGGTCTGTTCGACTGGCAGAACCTAATTAATTAAAAGTCAATTATTGCATTCGACTCAAATTGCTCGGTGCCAAGGCATAGTGAAATTTTTGTTCGACTGGCAGGCGATCTTGCTCAAAGTTCGAATTTTTTGAAACTGTACTTTTTTTCAGTGCCAGTGTTATTTTAGAAGTTAGAAATTATTTAATTAGTTTTAAATATATTACCATCTTTGTTTTTATTATTAGTGAGAATGGACAATCTTTGAAATTAATAGAGTTTAATTTTTGGTTTGGCAACTATAAATAAATATCGTTAAAAATTTGTTATGAACCTGAAATGTCAAGTGCAGACTGTGCCAGTCGAATAACGATAAAGATGCGCTATACACCAATGTCGAACTCTAGCTCGTGCTTGCTCTGTGGACTGCTAAATATAAATTTGAATTATATAAATGCTGCCCAAAATCAATTCAGAACTAAAATCACTATGTCAAACACGGTGTCCGATTTCAAGGATTCTTTTTTTGTTAGAAAGAGGGTACTTCAGGGGTGGTCCCATATATATTTGGTCAAAATCTAATAATTGGGTCAATGAGAAAATCCTCAAACTCTTCATTTTTTATGTATGTTTAGCAATAATTCTTTAATACGGTGTCCGATTTCAATGATTCTTTTTTCGTTAGAAAGAGGGTACTTCAGGGGTGGTTCCATATACATTTGGTCAAAATATAATAATTGGGTCCATGAGAAAATCTTCAAACTCTTCATTTTTTATGTATGTTCAGCGATAATTCTTTAACACGGTGTCCGATTTCAATGATTCTTTTTTTGTTAGAAAGGGGGTACTTCAGGGGTGGTCCCATATAAATTTGGTCAAAATCTGATAACTGGGTCCATGAGAAATTCCTCAAATTCTTCATTTTTCATGTATGTTTAGCGATAATGCTTTACGACCTTGTCCTATTTATATGATTCTCTTTTTTTGTTAGTAATGGGATACCTCAGGAATGGCCACATATAAATTTGGATAAGATGTGCTGACGGCATCTGCACGTTTTTGAAGTCGGTTTTTTTAAATTTTTAATTTAGATCACTTGTTGTTACACCCAACTTTAACCAAACCAAACTGGATAGAACACGGTTTACCCGGGTAAAGCCCGAAATATGTATAATGTAAGTTATATTATTTCGTACTTCACCCACGTTTTCTGGGTATTTCGCAGTTTACCCGGGTAAACTTAAGTTTAACAGTTAATCTAACTTTACCCGTAACAGATATATCTTCAAAGGTCAATAAATATTATTTTTATTATTATTAGACTGTCATTTTTTAGTTTTTAATTGGTTTTTGAAGATGTATTCCTAGGTTATAGCTTTTGTAAATTTCATGCAGCTAATTTGGAATACCCTATTCCAAATTACCTGTAGGTTATATTTTAAGGTCAAAATGTTTATTTTTTAGTTAAATCCAAATATTTGTTGTAGAAATACATATTGTTCTTAAATAATTTTGTTTTTATCCCTTATCGATTTAGAATTTATTTTTTACATTTTTTTTATAAATGATACTGGAAATTACCTTCTTTTCCTCTACATAGGTACATAGGAACGAAATTAAAATACTATGTAATTTACTTTGCAATAGTCATTAAATTTTTATTTGAATTTCTAATTTTTTTAGTTTTTAAATTAGAGAATACAATTATTATGTTTTAAATCTGTCCGTCCACTTTTAGTTCCATTCTTAAAATGTTTTATTCTACTCTAACTTCAGCCACTTTTTCAAAGTTGAAACATACACGTTCCTTGCTTGCACAAGATAATTATTATCAGCAGTATCAGAGCCTCTGAGATCCACAAGATGTGGAGCATCGATAATTTCATAAGTCATCAACGATTCATCTGTCTCATTCGACTTGTTCATGTAAACACCACCCCATGAACCTGGATCTAACATGCTATTACTAAAGAGTATATTCGAATAATACTGCAAATTTTTTCCACCGTAAGCCAGTAGAGCCCAATCTGGACCTAATTTAGCTCCAAATGTTTCGTAACACTCAAGTACGAACTGTGTATAATTCCATTGTTTTGTTATAAACATATCATTGTCGGTTGAACATTTGGGCATTATCAGCTCTGTACAAGTTTGATACTGCCATGCAATTTCATTGAAATCTTCCTGTTTATGATAAATATTATTACAAATCGTTTTGCCTGTATAATTAGTATAAACTTCCAAAGCATTAGCGAATGATTGAATAAGTCCTTTTGTGTCACTGGCAAAGGTTGTGGTAAGTTTTTCACAAAAGATCTTCACTGGATAGGCTGGGACTGGTTTGTAGTAGTCCGAAGGATAGTGATAGTTTGTCATTGACAATTTAACATAGATATTTGCCAACCAATCTAATAATGCATTCACGTCTTCTGGTGTTCTGATTTTATTGCAAAGTTTCCATGTTGAAGAAATTAAATCCATACCTAAAATATAAAAATTGAAAACATAAAGTAACAAAAATCGTATGTTCTTAATGTTAACTTAACCAATTAATAGGGTAAAGTAACCTATATTCTTCATAAAAAGTTCTGCATTGTCTAAAATTTAAAATACAACCAACATATTTTAAATTTTCTCAGTCCTATACGAGGTTTGTCAAAAATAAAGGTATACTTTACTAATCTAGAGCAACATTTTTATTTTTTGACGCACCTCATAAACAACTCAAAAAATTTAATTTCTGAAGGGTATATTTTAAATTTTATAAAGAATAACTTGTTTCCATAAAACAATAAAAACTTTCTATAAAAAAACGAAACTTCCTAATTTATATAAGACTATTACACTCACCTAATTTAGTTTTACATTGATTTATAATAATGTCCCATCCAAGCTTAATTGTTTTGACACATTGCTCTTGCCCATGCTTCTCAAACATATCCGTAACTATCTGATAATATCCTTCGCAAGTCGTGAGTCCGGGAAAATAGAAAATAGGTGCAGACGAAGTAAGAGCTCCCCTAACAGAAAATGGATATTTCATTCTTAACCAGGCTGACAACATTCCAGCGTAGTATCCTCCGAAGGCAATAAAGGGTTCAATCTTGGAAGATGTAACATTTTCGAAGATTTTCCCTTTTAAATCATCAATAAGAAATGAAAAATCTGCTAAAGCTTGTGTTGTGCTTAGGTATCTTAAATTTTCGGTAGTTGAGAATGATGCGTTTCCTAAAAACGTTAAATTTTTATTTTATGATCTGCCAGGAGGATATAAATAGGAGCAGTATATAAAGTATAGTTTAAACTATACACGAAGACATTAGACGAATTATACTTGGTAAATTTAAAGTTACTTCTAATAATATTATCTATAATTTTTGTTTCATGTAAAATTTTCCTGAAATGGTCCGTGTTCGAGAAATTTGACAAAATGTGCAAAATTCTAATTTTTAAGAAAATTGTTAAACTAAAAGTTGTTTGCGATATTGATCTTTATAATTTTTGTTTATGCACGATTTTTCTAAAATGGACCTTAAAAAAAATTGTAGGAAAAATTTTTTCAGTATTTTCGTTTTCAATGAATATCTATAGAAAAATGTTTCGAGGTAGATGTATGTGGACAATGTATATATTTAGTTTATCCTCTTAACATTTATAGAGATGCTGTAATAGGTTGTACAAAATAACCGGAAAAAGCCTATAATAACTAGATAGGAAAGTCATGTGTTGGACACATCAGATTTTTTAGTCTTGTTAAGAAAAATATTTGCTACAACTTAATACTTACCCAGCAAACATTTTCTATAACATTAGTTATAACTCGACTTTGTTAAAGACGAATTTACTTATTGAGGTAATTAGTATGTAAAATTGACTAGAAAAATATACCTCTTATGTAAATTTACCAAATGGTTTTAATTTATATTTAAATTTACGTAAATTATACCAAGAAATCTACCTTTTACACAAATCTGCTTAAAAGTAACTTTAACCATATCAGCAAGGGAAAAACTACTAAAAAAATAACCAACAATTACTTCAAAGTTAAATTTCCTTTGTAGTAAAATTAGGTGCCATATTTAGGTAATATCTACCTGTTTAGCAACTAAAAATCGTCTTTATAGTAGAATATCCAACTAGGTACATTTGGTTAAAAATTCTACGTAATTTTATGCCTATTTGGCCGCTTTTATTTACTCTCCTTTTAAGTAATATTAGGTCGAGATCGTACCAAAATTCTACCTGTTTATCTACCTAATTTCAACCAAATAGTCGAATACTCATTTAGTTGACCTATAAGTCATCTTGAAGAAATATTTATTAACTTTGTTGTAGCAATTACCTGAAAAATCTACCACAAAGTAAATTCGACTAAAAACCACCAATTTAAAAAGAGTCATACATGACCTATTTGTAAAATTTATATTATTTAGGTTATTTTAACAATTAGGTTGTTCAGTTACTGTCTTTGTCATTATTCTTAAGAATTTCGGCCATTTAAAAAAAAGCATTACAGTCGTATTCTTAATTTACGTGTGGTGTAGATAGAGCTTTAAATGAGTGCGAAAAATAATTAATAAAATGAGTTCGAAAAATAATAAATCATATTGTTATACTTCCGATTTTTATCGTAAAGTGAAACGTCTAAAATCTCAAGTACAGAACAACGTGACCTAAATATGTTATATTTACCTATAGGTAAATTTTTAATAAAACCTATAAGTTATTATTTCTTTAAATAGGTAAAGTTAACTAATATGTCGTGAAATTGAAGTTAATTCAACTTAATTAAAAGGTATTTGTAAAATACGTGGATTTCCTTAGTCATAATAACTTTTAGGTCGAATTCGCACAATATGCCATATTTTCTTAACGTAATTGAAGTACGATTCCAAATTTTAAATTTTTAAAATGACCATATCTAGAACATACGAATGAAAATACAGAAACACGAAACATTATTGATTTTCTAAAGTGATACACAACAAACGTAACATAGTTTTAGCTCATAATATTATTATTATTTTTTTACACGATCATATTTTTTTCTTATATTTGTTTAATTAGAGAGTATTTTGGAAGGGCATTGTTATTTTTCTAAGTAGAACTGTTAACATGCACGACAAAATTTTCTTCGCATTAATTTCAACAAGCGTGAACTGTATATTCACCGCAATTACATTACATATATTTTTGTCACCGACATTTATTTATTTTCAATCTTTTATGTGAATTAGGTATATGTTTTAGTTGTGTTGGTGACTTCTTACAATATTTCTACTTATATATAGATAAAAATACCAAATAAGTATAAAATTTCTTTTCGTACACTTGGAGGCATACGTCATCTGCAAATATTTTGGTAGTTTCTACCTAAACTTAGTTAAATCAACGTCGAATTAACGTTATACTGACGTCAAATTTCCCTAGAGAGGTATTACTAACCAAACGTACTGGACTACTACAATGTGGATTTAGATGTAATTCTACCTATTTTGGTAAATAAAACGAAATTTCGACCTCGTCTTATTCTCCACTTATGTCGAATCCACGTCGAGCCAACGTAAATTTTACTTAATTATGGTTAAATCTAATTTTGCGACCAAATTTATTATATATAATTTAGGTAGTATCGACGTCAAATTACACCAAAATGTTTGCTGGGTAGTACCTAATCGTTTAAAGAATAATGCATATTTAATAAACTTTATAATTCTTTTTTGACGAAATGGGCCATTTTTTCAAAAAAGTATGCTAACCCAGGATTACTGTATGGTATTATTTTTAATATTGCGTATTCAGTTTTCTTCACATTGACAGATTTTTAAATCCAATTAAAACAATACAAAGTGGAATAAAAATGGCAACTTTTATTAAGTTTATTCTGCCATCTATTTTAAACTAGCAAAAGCTCCAGCCGTCTCTAGCTTAAAGAGACTCAATTAGCTGGCCACTTGGTGGTGGTCTTCTTTTGGTATCAAACAAATAAATGCGTTGATCTGACCTACTAGGACTACTTATACAATGATAGTACTATAAAGTCAGGTGACTTTGATCCACATGGGGACTTTAGATCAGATCAGTAAATAGTTATTTTTGTTCCCAAAAAATTATACGTCCTATTTTTAAAATGAAACTCACTCTGGTTTCACTGTAAGGTATTAAAACTATCCAAAAAACACTTTATTTAAAGACAATTGGACGCTTACGCTTTTTGAAGTATAAAAAGTTTAACTCATTGCAAAATAATCGAAATTGAAACCAACAAAACTGTTATTTGTAATATTTTTTATTATTTTACCATAAGCGATAGACAATATTTTTTTAATGATAAAATGTGTTTAACTATGAGAGGTGGCTTTAAACCAGCAAGTAATATTATTGAGAAAACAATGTAAAATGATGGGTGAGTCAAAATCACCCTCTACCTGCGGGTGGCTTTGCACACCCTTTTTTTAGTTTTTATTTGAAAAATTAGACCATTTGAGATATTTTTGCTTAATAATTCTTAAAATATAACTGAAGACTAAATTATGGCGAAAATGCGAATTTGGATTTGCTTTTATTTAACAATTCAAACTAGATTTAAATTTTGACAGTGAGTCAAAGTCACCCGACTTTACGGTACAAGTTTAATATATTTAAAATAATTATTATTATTACCAAACGGCAGCGACTTTCCATAATAACGATGTTCGACAAAAACTAACATCGCTTTGAAGATGGGCGCAATATCGAACAAAAATCCCGTATTTTGTGCTGCAATTGTTATATCTCGTTCACCACCTGTATAAATGAAAACAGGGCCTCCTTTGATATAGTGCTTTCCGTTTAAGAGATATCTCAATTTAAACGTTTTATATGATCCCATTGCCGAAAAGTGATCCACTGGTACATCGATATATCTTGTTTCTAACGAATATATAGTATCACTTTTAGATCCCTTCAGAAACATCACTAACACAATTATTATTGGAAATAATTTTAGTAACATCTGAATTTTGATTTTTAATGACTTCATAACTTTTGAACTACACAGGCATTCGCTGTGGTAAAAGTTAATAAGGAACTGAGAATATTAATATCAACGATTTAAATTTATTTTTGCGGCAAAATAGTCAAGAGGCTGCAAACAATATCGAATATCTTAATATCTTGCATTATTTTTTGATTTAAAATTAAGTGAAGTCACTAGACTATATTTTAAATAAATAAATTGAATATCTTAGTTATGTATCAATACAGAAAGTCAAAAATACTTCGTTAATATCTATGATTCAAAATGGTATTAATTCGAAATTCGATAAATTACTCTTTATTATTTCAAAAATAAATTCCATTTTCTGCATTTTTTTAATAGCAGTTTGTACAACAATACTGGATATGATTAACATAGAAATAGAGAGAAAGGAATGGAAAATAGTATTTATCTAGATTATAGTCCAATTAAATAACGAAAAAAAGCCCCTTCGAGCTTATATTAATTTGTAATTGGATGAAAGAAAGTGGACCTTATGTATTTTGATGTGATCTTCCCGAAAAAAAGCAAAAAAAGACGTAGCTGTTGTTCAATTTTTTTTAAATTAGGAAAAACCGGGTTTTCCGGAATTTTCCATGGTAAAAATGCTAATTATCTGGGCAAGTATCATTCCTATAGTAAAAATAAATGCACCAATCGAAAGAAGAGGCAAAAATAGTTCGGAAATTCATTGCACAGGTAGTTTTAATGGCGAATTTCTCGCCGCCAGAAGTGCTTTTACCAAAAAGTTGTTTTTTCGTTTCTTTGATCAGAACCATGGACATGAAATTTGCTATGAATTTGTGGCGAAATTATAAATGTTAGACATATGTGCCCATGAGAGAAGTTGCGTATTTTTTTGTTGACTCTCAAATAAAATAAGTCCCGCGGCGAAATCTGCCATAATTTTTCGGGAATTCACAGAAAACCGGAAGGCGTATTTTTTTTTCCCATATGATTTTCTCCAGGTTTTCCGAAAACCTCTAACAAAAAAATAGATTTGAAAAAACTAACTTCGCCATGGGAAAGAGCACAAAAAAATACACAAAAAGGTATACTTTAAAAATGTTAGGAAATTAATTCTAAGCCTGAGTGTATAAGTTCCAACTTGGTGATAAGCTTGTTTTTTGTTCTCTAACATCAGGTTTTTAGTTATTTACGAGAAAACTTGAAATGGGAGAAGATATATATGCATGACAAAAATAAGTATTTTCTAGTTACATTCCGAATGAGACGGGTTGGGTGGCGAAATCTGCAATACTTTTTGAAAAAATTGCGAAACAATTTTTTCTTGATTTCTCGTAGTTTTTTCTTAAATAATTCGAAAACTAATTATTTGAATAGAAAACTACTTCCATCAGATGAAAGAGAAAAAAAGACACGAAAAACTGTGGCATATACATTTTTTCTAGCATCCACTATTTTCTTAGTGCACGTGTGCAAAGATCGGTAATTCTCGCGAGAATTGAAGCTACTCGAATTTTCTAGAGAAAAGGGGCGTTTTCTGGTAATTGAGAGAAAAAGTAAGCTTGTTCCTCATTAAACTTACTGATTCTTATATATTTTCAGTCTGTAAAGTACCCAAATTACGGTAAGGTCACCCTCTGCAAGTGTCTGATGACATAATAAACACAGGCCAGCCATTGCAACCTGGAAACAAAAAAAATATAGCACTGTGATAGAATTTTCTTAATTTAGGAACGTACTTACTCAATAAATTGCTGAAGAAGTCCGAAAAACCACGTGTACACAGAGCTTGCTGAATACGGTTATTAAATCTTTATGCTGATGAACACTATCAAGCGATTCAATTTGTAATAATATGACCTTTTGAAGTTTAAACTTGTCGGATAGCGAACACCAAGACCATGGCTATCCTTAATGCGACGTGCGGCTAATTTTGCGGTAATTCTATATTTTGCACAAAACTCAAAAAACGTCTTATAACAAGTCAGTAAAATACAATTTAATAAATTTTAAGCCTAATAAATTTAGGTATGTAAGAAATTTAAAACTGGAAATCGCAAAAAATCAAATTACAGAAATGCAGTGTCTACACGAGTTTTGGATCCCGCGGAGCGCGTGTAATGGGACTTTTGTAGGGAGAATTCTACAACTTAGAAGAAACATACACACTTTAAACTTTGTATACACATTCAGAAGACATGAAATTTGGGTTTGTTCAATTTTCAGACAAAAAAACTGAAAATCCTCAATTTTAGGCAACTTTTCTCAAAAACCGTGTTTTTTGGTCGTCACTCAATGAATAGTGGTCAAAAAAATAGATAAAATATTTTTGCAGTATTTTCCGTAATGTAATCGTATTCTAGACACAATAAAGTTATAAAAAAAAGTTTTGAGCCATTGGGTGCATTTTTGGCATTTTTGTGCCACTTCAAACTTTCGAAAAAAAATTTAGTTTTTTTTAGGGAAGAAAATTTGTTTAATTGTTTCATATCTTGGACAATTATAGTCCGAATTTGGTGAAATTCACACACACATAAGATTTCACATTCAAGAGTAAGCTCTGTATGTGGCATTAAAAAAATTCAAATAGTTTGGCCGTTATAGGTAAACAATAAAATTATGCCCGCGGTACACTTTGCCCTTCCGCCATATGCCCAATTTTGGGATTTCTCTTGACCCCTTCTGGGAATCAATAGTCACATCTCCTAAGTTCAAAACGCATTTTTGTTTTTTAAATATTTTAATTTTTACCAAAGTTATGAAGAATTTAGTAATTGAACATTTAACAAAATCAATTTTTCGACCTTCGCCGCCTCAAAATACTAAACAAATTTCTATCGTCCATACCGCGAAAAAGGTGCATCGGATCAAAATTTCTCAAGAGACATGAAAATTAGCATTTTTCCTAAGCTTTCAAATGTCGTAAACTGCGTTTTGAAAATATTGATTTATTTTCGACATGCGCCTGCGCAAAATTGAAAAATTGACAAAATCCAAAATTTCGGCACTTTCGAAAAACAGCTACATTTTGTTTTGCCTTTTTTCGAAAAGATCACCTCAAAATACATAGAATCTATTTTGTTTCATCTAATTACAATTTAATGTAAGCTCAAAACCCGTAATTTAATTCGATTATTAAGATTATGGTGTTTTTATTTGAGGCATCTCAAAATTTCAAAATTTTTAACAAGTTTCTAGAATATATTTTAGATAAATCAATTGAATGTAACAATAATAATTATGTATCATTTCTTAAGTATTTATGAATGCTTAATATTCAAAAATATCTATGATTCAAAATATTTTCAATTCTATTCGTAATTCGAAAATCCTTTTTTAAAAATTTTTCGATTAAACACCGAATTTGTATCGTACATTTTTTAGTCATTAGAAATTTTTACAAATATAAATCTATAATGTAGACTTTTATACTTAATACAATGTGTCCTAGATTCGCTCCTAATATACCTACAGGAAAGTTTAAATGGGAAAAGTTTTAGAGCAAACTTAGTGCATTTGATAACCGGCTTCAGATTTACGATCGGTTATGGAAATATCGGCGAAAAACCGAAAATCGTGCATTTCGCTTTTCGCCTGTAAATCCGAAACGAATAATATGTCTCAATCGTCTTTTGCTATCCCGCAATCCGCCTCAACTTTCATTTTTCTTATGGCCGCCATACTATATTTTTCGATTTTTGGAAAGACTGAAAAATTTCCAGTCTTGTGGTGTCTCACCAGTGCCTACAAGATTTGAGAATCATCGAAATATCACACTTCGTAAAATTAGGCCTCATTTTTTTCTAAAGAGACCATGATTTATTTGTCAGAAAATAAGGTTTTTATAAGAAGCTCATTGTTTCCATCTAAGGAGGCTTTGACCAGGGCCGGATTATCCAATAGGCTAGATAGGCTATAGCCTAGGGGCAATCGAGTTGCGGGGGCGATTTACTCTCAAATAAAAAAAAGTAAAACGGTATTCAACATCTATTTACTATAATACGTTGACCATGATTCAATAACAATAATAATAATAATTATCATTATTTATACTAAATCTGGCCGCGGCACGGCACGAACCGCTAATGCTAATGTCAGTTTTTATCGCGATTTAAGATAGACCGACCGACAGACGCTACTGAACACTGCGCTCTGCATGTGCATCCCCGAAGAATACCCCAAAATTTTGATCCCTGGCGGCGAGCTTGCGCTGCGTGCGTCATTCCGTCTAGTGTCTAGTAAAATCCACACGCATTTTTTAAGGATATGTTCGTTCGTTAAAATTAAAACGTTATAATCGTAATTTAATCACAAAAGTATTTTGTATTAAAAAACAAAATTAGTGCATAATGTAGTGACACTAAGCGACTAAAATGAGTAACTATGAACTATGAACTATCCAAGTGGGGCAAAAAAACGTAAAATAGCTAAAGAAAAAGCTGTAAGGCAGGCGGAAGCTATAGAAAATGTACCAAAAATAGACACGTTTTTTAAAAAACCACATATTGATAGTGGGCAGTCACAGAACTCTAATTTAATTCATTTGTCACATGATGCTTTACCAGGAACTTCAAGAACAAATTTGAAAGATATTTATTTTATATTTTATTCTATGTTTTAAATCAAAAGCAAGCGCATATTTTGTTTTTAGATTCTTTGCTCACCGCTAATGAAAATGAAAACAATGAGAATGACACTGACGAAGTTGATACAAGTGATAGTGATTTTGGCGATCCTGCAAAAATATCAGTTAACATTAACTCAGAGACGATTGACTCACTAATAAAAAAATCCGATAATACAGGATTTAAACAGTTTTAATTTTGAAAACTTAAAGAGAGTGTATGAAGGCCTACAATCACGCTACGCATCTAAAAAATATTTTTTTCCAAACTTCGAAATGGTGAGGAAGTTCGGCGAGAGTGGCTCTTATATTTTGTGTCGAAGAATTCAGTTTTCTGTTTGCCATGTATGTTGTTTAGCAAGGAGCGTGAAAAATCTTTTGTTAAAGGATTTAATGACTGGAAAAATATTATTAGAATTGAAAAGCATAAGGCTTCGCAAGAACATTTA